TTTTGTGGATTAGTTTTCTTTTTCTTTTTTGGCGGCATTACGAATGAATGAATATTTTTTATTATTTTTGAGAATAGAATTTGATTGGCTCAAGCCACTACCACCTGATGAACTAGATTATCGCAAGGCAGTTACTGATTAACTAAAAGCGATGAAACCAGTTAATTTTGAAATAATCCTATCCTTCATTAAACATAATTGTATCATTTTTACATTTTCATCTCATTAAATTTTTGAACTTCAGTTAATTTTAGAAACAATTAAAAATTGTTGGCCTACTGTAGAATTCCTAACCAAGCTAAATTAGCCTTTACAGTTCCAGCTGAATGGTAGGAATTTAAATTTTAGAGCTGTGATAGACATATTAATGATATTCACCTTGTATAAAATTACTAAAATTTTAGGGTCCAGGGACTATTGGAGTTTTACAAGATTGCATATATGCAAGCTGGTTATTTAGAAATGAAAATACAAATATTAATTTGGAATTTATTACAGAACGTAAGGAATCGTCGCATCTTAATATTCAATATTAATTAACCTTAGTATTGTCCACCTAAACTATTTTAAAGAGGCGAAAGTCAAAACTAAAATTATATCAAAAGTCAAAGCTAGTTTCGACTTTTGACAGTTGGGAAACTGTGGTTTTGGAAACTAACACTATTTTGGATTATTTTATATATAAAAAACAGCTGAAGCTGTCGCGTTGTATTGTATGGATAAATTGGGTGAACATTTGTTGAGAGAAGGATGTAAATATATTTGAATAAAAAAATTTAATACTAGATGGTTTCGATGACTTTAATGATAATTTGCTTTTATTATAATAATTAGCTACATTTACGATATTGGATTGTGGTGATGGCACAGTTGATTTAACAACCCGAAAATTATTGACTCGTGATACTTTATCAGAAGTCAGCGAATGAACAAGAGATTTCTGTGGATCAACTTATATTGATGATGAATTTATCAAATTCTTAAAAAATCAACTCGGATCTGAAGCAATGAGTGATTTTAAAGAAAATCATTATCATGAGTATCAATATTTAATTCATCATTTCTTTTGTCCAGGAATAAAATTTGGATTTGATGGTGATAGTTTTGAAGCAACAGACTTGGACATTGGAAAATTTTGTCCAGCACTTAAGGAATATATAACTAAAGATATTAGTGATAAAATGGGAGAAGGTGAACATTATTTAATAAGAATAAGTAACTATCATAAATTTCATTAATATGCTATAATAAAGTAATAGAATGGGGCCATCAAGCATTGGCACGAAGACCTAGGATAAAATCAAACCATGCATCAAAACCCATATAAAAACCTGTAGAGTATTTTAAATTGCTTCTTAAATATGAGAAACATGAGAAACATGTTAAGTATAAATATGATAAATGTGATAAATATGATGATTCAAATGTATTAGATAAAATACACATACCTGATGTATTAGATTATCGTAAAGCAATTACTGACTATCTGAAAGAGTTGAAACCAGTTAATAGTTTTAGTATTCTCCCTTAAAACATAATTGTATTGCCTTTTATACTTTCACCACATTTATTTGTTTCTTTATTTGCCCACAACTCCAGTTAATTCTAGAAGCTCTTTCAAAACGTTGGCCCACCTTAAAATTTCCTAGTCAAGTTAGATTAGTCTTTACTGTTCCAGCTGAATGGTAGGATTTTAAATTCTAGGGTCATATTAAACATAATAGTAATATTTATCTCATATAAATTACTAAAACTTTAGGAGTCCAGGAACTATTGGAGTATTACAAGAGTGTATATATCAAGCTGGTTATTTAGAAAACAGAAATTCGAATAATAATTAGAAATTATTACAGAACGTAGGGAATCATATCTATAAATTATTAATATTCAAAATTAATTGACTTACATATTTTTATATATAATATAAAAAACAGCTGAAGCAGCTGCATTGTATTGTGTGGATAAATCAGAAGAAAATTCATTGAAAGAAGGATGTAAATATATTTGAAAGAAAAATTAATATCAGATGTTTTCAATGACTTTGATGACAATTTGCTTTTATTATAATATTAGCTGTATTTATGGTAGTAGATTGTGGAGGTGGAACAGTTGATTTAACAACTCGAAAATTATTGATCAGTGGTACCTTATCAGAAATGTGTGAACAAACAGGAGATTTCTGCGGATCAACTTATGTTGATGATGAATTTATTGCTTTCTTAAAAATAAACTTGGATTTAGTGCAATAGATAATTTTAAAAAAAATCATTATGATGAGTGTCAATATTTAATTCATCATTTCTTTTGTCCAGAAATAAAGTTTGGGTTTGATGGTGATAGTTTTGAATCAACAGATTTAGAGATTGGAATATTTTCTCCATATGTAACTGATGATGAGCTTAGGAAAGAAATGGAAGAAGGTGAAATGTTATTTAACAAGAATATGTAAACTTTCATGAGTTCCCTTAATAAGCTAACAAATAATTATGCATTGTTATAATAGAGGACTGGTTATTAGAGATTACTTATAAAGATGTTCTTGCAATGTTTGATCCAGTAGTAAACAAAATTATTCGTTTAATTCGTAACCAATTAGAAGATTCAAAAGAAAAATGCTCTGCTATGTATTTGACTGGAGGTTTCTCAGAATCACCATATCTTATCTCAAAAATAAGGAAAACATTTCTTCTTAAAGGTATTTTGCAAGTATAATCAAGATTACATGATTTGTTTAGTTAGTAATAGATTGTGTATTTTTTTTTTTTTAAGTACCAACTATTATTGTACCTCAAAATCCAATAACTGCTGTTGTACGTGGAGGTAAATATGATTTATTAATTTTGAAATATTCAGCATTCCATAATCAACTAACACATTTTATTTACAATTATAATATAAATAGGAGTTATTTATGGTTTAGACAAAAAGGCTATTGTGACACGTCAATTAACATTGAATTATGGTATGTTGTTTATTTTTTAAAAATTTATTAATTTACTACATTTATATTTATATATATATATATATATCATATAGGTGTGCGTGTATATCCATTGTGTGAATTTGGGGGATCCAATAGAAAGAAAAACAAAAGATGGTCGTATATACAAATTTCATTGTTTAGCAAAATGTGGAATAGAATATACACCAAATCAAGAATTTTCTGGGGCATATTATCCTGTTTACCCTGACCAAAAAGGTATAAATTTCAAGGTATATTGTACACCAAAAAATGATCAAGAATTTTGTAATGAATCTGGTATGGAATTGATTGGAGAGTTGTATATTGAATTACCTGATGTTCAATTAAAACTTGATAGATCTGTAGAGTTTTCTTTAATGTTTGGTGAACTACTTATTAATGCATCTGCATGGAGTAAAAAATCAGGAAAAGCTTGTAAAACTACATTTCATTATGCCAAACGTGATGTTTGTGAAGCATCATTTTTAAGAAATCTCTAAATATTAATGCTTTTGAAATCCTGCATAAAACTTACAGAAATCATAAAAGTTTAAAATAATTATTTCCAAAGAAACTTGTTTTAATTAGATTGAAATCTAAAATATGGTATTTTTATCAATTGGCAAGATTGACATCTTATTCATTTTAAATATTTATCTAGTATATTTTATTGTTATTTTTTCTTGTAATTCATTAAACAGAAAGTTCCTCAATAACAAAGTGGTCAATTATGAATAATATTAAGATTTGTTTTAATACCCATAAATTATATTCATAAAACTTTGCTTTTTTGATATAACTTCAAAATATGTATTACCCCCAATAATTATTAGAAAATTGAAATGTTTTTAATTTTAAACAAAATTAAATTAACCAGGATTCCATTTTGTAATAAAAACAAGATGATAAATTAAGTCAGTTGGAAAAGAAAAAAACCTGATTTAAAGATTCTGTCACAAATAAATTTAATGGAAATATAATAATAAAAAAGGTAAAGTTATTTAGAGATCTTTATATAAATATATAATCGCATCTCTCTAATTATATTCAATTGATATGCCAAATGTTGTTTATTGTCATTTAAGAGAAAGGGAATGGAGGATTGAGTCATTTCCAATATTTATCAAATTTATAGAAAAAAGCATAGCACTATGATATCAATCGATTATATAATATCTATTTTAGAAGCAATTATTTTCGTTGCAATTTCTGTCTTCATTATCAAAACCTAAATTATGTGAATCATAATCCAAATCTTCCTCATCAGTATCACATTCATAATTAATTGTTTTTTTTTCTTTTTGCACTCAGTATTAATATTATTTTCACACATCACATCAAAAAAATTGGAAACCAAATCATTGGGATTATATTCACAATTTTCATTATGTTTCAATTAATTGGTTTCATCTTTCAGTTAGTTAATATCAATATCCAAAGAAATCAACAATCGTGATCACATGAACGTTATCATATAATAAAGCATAAAAACGATATAATCTTACAGTGACAAAATTATATGTGGCTCAAATCCATTCCTTAATAAATTGATGATTTTGATCATTTAAAGAATAGTAAATTTCATTTTTCATTTTTTACTTATGAAATTTTACTAGAAGTGAATGCACATTAACTGATAATGTATAAATATAAAATAATACAATAAAGCAATTTCATAAGAAGGCATAAAGGTAAATAAAAGACATCATCTATTAAACTATGCTGATTTTTTTCGAATTGTAACTTGAGATTGGTAACAAAGGTTAGATTCTTTGTCTCCTTTTAAAATATACAAGGAAAATAGCAAAAATCTACTACATATTTCTCTATATTCTCACATTCCCACGCTCCACCCATCAATTAGGGTTCGACAGTACTCCTTCATTCATACCATTGAACTTTTGATGCAGGTTCCTGGATCTGAAAACAAAACCACGGTTTAATACCAGAACGGGCCAGTTCCTAGTGACATTCTTCTTTTTTTTTCTTCGTCCAGAATTTCACGATATTTGTTCATTTCATCAATAATATTATTTCTGATTGAATTAATGAATGGATGATCAGAATTGAACCCATACAACTCAAGTGTTTCATATATTTTTTGACGAGTCATTTTGGTAATGTGATCATATATATCTCTTGTTTGAAATAGTTCAGTAGTACATTTAATCATTAAATCAGTGTGATTCATAATTGCTGCTTCCAAACAACTGAACTTTCCGTTTTTGTCTGTCTGTTATTTTTTCTATTGCAGAAAATACTTTTCCAATTATTATACTTTGAAGGATGGATCTCGAATCATCCTTAAAAAGTATCCTTATCTTTCTTAAACCTATATTCTAATAATAATTTATTTGCTGCTTTCTCTTTGATCTGTATGATGGTGGATTTTCCTTTGACTTTAATGAAAGCCTCTACTTAATTTTTAAATTTGGTGATATCTTTTTAATTGAAGATAACTATTGGATTCATTACTCAAACTAACATTAGTAGCATCTCCAAGTGCAGCTTGTAAATTGAAAACTTTTTTCTTAGCACTTGTTAATTCATTAGTAGTATCCCCAAGTGCAACTTGTAAATTTAAAAGTTTTTTCTCAGCATAATTATTAACATCTTTGAGTTCAACTTGTAAAGCAAAAACTTTTTTCTTCGTATTTGTTAATTCATTAATAGCATCTCCAAGTGCAGATTGTAAATTTAATACTTTTTGCCCGGCGTTTTTTAATCAATTTTTAATATTTCTGATTTTTGCTTGTAATAATTGTTTTCATTGGATAAACGGACACGTTCAAAATCAAGAGATTTTAATTTTTTTTTCATGTCTTCTAAAATCAGGTTATTTATTTCCTTACTTTTTGAAAATCTGATCATTTATTTTCTTTCTTTCAGACTTTCTACAATCTGAGCATCTATCTTCTTATTTTCTAAAAGTTGTTCATTCATTTGCTCGAACTCATGTTCAAATTGTTCATTTACTTTGTCAAATTTTTGCGGTAGTGTTTTCCCATCTTTGTGACCGGAATTTGTGCTTTCAGCATTCCTCTTTGCCAATAATTCGTTGTATTTGGCCAATAAATTGTTGTATTTGTCATTTATTTCATTTATTTCATTCATTACTTGTCTGTAGTAAGGATTTGATATAGTGATAACCCTCAGAATCTGTTGGATCTAAGTGAGGTTTTGAAATGACTCTGATAAAAGCAATTCTAGCTTGAATATTTTAATATACTATTGTTCTTGGAATTGATCTCTGGGAGTTTGTTATTTGCATTAAATAACGTAAACAGCCACTAGGAAGCTTCGTTCGAGGCAGGATTTTATTTAAAAGCAACTGTCTTAAATTCTCATTATTTGGTGTTGATACACACTTAAGACATTCAATAATTAATTTTAAATATTTATTAGGATTTTTTGTGTATTATTAATTATTTTTTCTATCTCGCCTGCTAGACCACTTAAGTCTTCTTCAATGATTAAACGAGTTTTCCCTGAAGTATCTTTTAGCTCAATAAGAACTAAAAGAATCAATTGATACAAATTACTTGAAACTCTGAACCATTCAAAAACTTCCCAATGTTCAACCTGCTTGTTATCCATATTTATTACTAATCTAATTTAGAAGTTGATGGTTATTATTAATTAGAAAATTTATGATATCTTTCTTTTTTTAAAAAAATATTTATTTGCCTATACACAATCATTATTATTATTAACAAGTACAAAACTACTTTTACTTGTTGCATTTTTATTTAAATGGATTGACTAAATCAAAAAAAAAATATTCTGTCACAATACTATGGCTAAACGAATTTACTATTTGCCTTTTAACAATGGGGCCAAAATAAGTTTAAACGGATTGACTATGGTTGGCTCGGTCTAAAGACCTCCTATTGCTGCGCGACGCGCTCAAATTTCGAAAAATTGCGATTTCGTGATTCGTTCAAAAATGCAATAAAATTTTTTTTAAAAAAATATTTTCACGTGATTTTGGTTAAAAAATTATTTTTCTTACGGTGCAGATCATCTACATATAATCATTAATTGCTTATAACAATTGGTAAACTTCAAAATACTAAAACAAAAAAAAATTATATCATTTTAAAAAATTTAACTGATAAGTTTCATTGTTCATGACTCAAGCTTCAAAAATTATC